GGTGTCAAGAGTCACATGGCTGTAATTGGGTGTCAAGAGTCACATGGCTGTAATTGAGTGTCAAGAGTCACATGGCTGTAATTGGGTTGTCAATAGTCACAGGACTCTAATTGGGTATCAAAAAGTCACACGACTGCTATGCGATGCAAATAGTCATGATTCTAATGGGTCAATAAGTTATACGACTGCAATTTGGTGTCAACAATTCGATTATTAATGAAAACGTTTTTTTTAAGATGATTAACCATCTTCACTGACTGTAAGCTTCAAAAGGCCAATTATGATAACTTTGTAATATTGAAGGCATCCCAAGTTCACATTTCTAGCTTATTATCATTATTTGATTTTAGAATCGTGGCCGGATTACTAATCGTGGTTGGAAGAACCGTGGTCGGAATAGACGTGCTCTGCAGCACCGTTTGGGGCAGTACGGCGGGCAAAAATCATTTTTTGTAATCTTGGAACAAGCACGTACACACCCCATGGTACTTGGCGCCATATATGGATTGGTTGAGGACAGGCTATTTTGCTGCGCAGAGGGGGAGGAGTAAGGATAATTTGGTAAGTAGGGGTGTGAATACGAGGATGAAGAGGAGTATGGATAGGAATTAGGATGGATATAGACTTGGGTTTGTTGTTGGTAAGGTGGTGCTTGGGTTCGGGAGGACGGGTTCATGATGAAGGTTCCTGAGCAACACATCGGGCTACACTGATTACTGCAACTGGTGATGCACGTCGAGTAGCACATCCCATTGGCTGAAAAAGGAAAGAAAACGAGAACCCCATGAACTAGAAGTTCGACATTGCCGTTCGGTGATTATGCAAACGGACAAACCATTCAAGCTTTTCTGAACGAAACTCAAACAGTTGCTCAAGTTATGGCCAGAGGGCGTCCATACTGTGACCTGCATTTTTTTTTTTTTTTTTTTGTACAGATTTCGTGTAAAATTATTTTTCGTATGCAATTTATTTTTCTTTGGTACTATTGTCATAATATCAATTAATATCATGCCCATTATTTTTGTTTGAATTTATCTCTTAATTTTGTAAGTTGTTTATTGTAAGCATTGCGCTGTGCTGTACGTGTGATACGTATAAGTAATGGTGATGAAAACTGCCGGTATTTACCTGGGTCGTTAGCGGTGACTGACGCGATGAACACTTTGTCCTTGCTGCCAGGGTAAATGTGGTTGTTATGGCTGTCCAAGTAGTCTTCTAATGGTTGAACGACGTTTGGGTTGGATCCGGGAGGGATTTTCACAAACACGCTATAGTAGGTGCCACCATCTGGTCCAATCCTGTTAGGCAGGTAGTAATAAGTAATTGAAATGGTTGTAAATGCGTATAATCATCATTATGATAATAATTTAAATCATCATCTCCGTCGCATTATCATCAACAACATCGTCATCTTACCGCACCACCATCAACATCATCATCATCATCATCATCAGTCATTAACATCCTCATCACAATCATCATCTTTACCATCAGCATAAGTCATTAACATAACCACCACAATCATCATCATCAATAGCATCATCATCAATCATTAACACGACCGACATCATCATCGCCCCCACCATCCTCTCCCACATAATCATTAGTCTCATCATCATCATCATCATCATCATTAAAAAATATTTTTTACTTAAATTGTTATGATGGTAAAGCACACATTTCAACAAGGAAACAAGCTTACTGTGTTGATTCGCCAACGAACTCGATTGGTTGTTTACTACTTGTGGAGTTTAGCTGCAAAGAAAAAAACTTACACGTTATGGAACTGAATTCAAAGCAAAAAGTGTACGTAATGTTTATAAAATATTGCCATTGCGATGTTACCATTAAAATATTCAACCATTTTAACAATAGGTTTTGTCACTTCGCTTTATCGGATTGTCCAATAGATTGACAATTGAAAATGTGTCAAAGGTCATGTTTTTTTGTTAGAGGTTACAAGGTATTGGGACAAAGATCTGTGGTTATAGGAAATGCCTCATGGTTAGGAAGTAGCACACTTTTTTGTGACAAAGGTCAATTGGGACCATAARGCAGATTAAGAAATTGACATGCTTTGTGTTAGAAGATACAAGGTATTTGGACAATGATCTTTGATAATAGGGAATGCCTTATGGTAAGAAAGTAGGAGATTCTTTCTGACAAAGGTCAATGGGACCATAAAGTAAATTAAGAACGTCTGAAAGGTCATGCTTTAAGCCAGAGGTTACCTTTTCTTTAATCATCGTCGCGTGATCTTTATCACCTGCAGGGAGAATGACTGTCTTTTTTGACGCACCTTGCACATCAATACCCACTTCAATTAAAAATGTTATCTTGTACGTGATGGGTCCTAAACAAAGCAAAGGAGAGTCGGAAGATACGGCAGTTTTTAAATACAACATTACAGGTTTCTGGACTCGGCAACACATGTGAGTAGAGTTTTACAGGTCTTGATTCGTGTTTTTTTTTTCGAGGTTCTCCGCTGTTCCTACCTTCGCAGAACCCACTTGATAAGCTAAATTCCAATTCGAACTGTGAATAAGACGTGCCCTGTCAACGCATATCAACCCAGAGGTTGTTTCAGGTTATCGATCTGAAAGTTTTCCATGCCCTGACTTAGATCAGCCAAGAAGTTTTTTCAGGATTATAAAATAAAGTTGCTATTTTAGCCATTCCAAAAAATGATCAAAACGATTAAAAAAAAACGCATTCTTCATCTTTCTGTTTTTACCCTCTGCAGGACGTCGACATATAGATGGAAGAACATCAGTACACTTTCTATCTTCCCATCCAGATTCATTTTTCGTATCTTTCAAAGCAATACAATTTTCGCCGATTCCAGTCGGTTCTGTTTGAAGAAACTGATGAAACCTGACTACGCTCCCGTCAACCCACTGATAACGACTCTCAACAATTCTGTCATTGAATCCTAACCAGGCTTCTGAGGTATTTTGCAGACCTGAAAGTTATACAAAATATGTCAGATAAAGCTTTAAGAACTTAAGCCAAAATTTAAGATTTCCTTGTACTAAGGTATCTAGTTCATAATATATATATATATATATATATATATAACTTCATCTGCGTTTGGCCATGGCGGCCATCTTCAGGGTTAGAAAGGGTGTTGTTAAATATGATGATGAGCCTAAAGTTCTCCACTTTTTATGTGGAGAAAGTCGTTAAAACCTCTTGCAAATGAGAAACAATTGGCGCTACTGGCAAACTCCAATAACTCACCAGATACCATACCAGTGATGAACATATTTTCTTCTTGAGACTGGAGGGATGCTAGTGTGGCTCCATGATGAGCGCAGTGTTCGATAGCTTTGGCCCAGGTTAATGGGACTGGATTTAATTTAAAGCAAGATTTTCCGGACATTCTAAACCCTTCAGGACACTCTAAGGACAGAATTCAGTTAGAATATGGTTATTAGAAATCATTAAAAGGTCTGATGTTTTCTATTTGGGCGTAAGCTTTCTCCTCCTCTTCGTCATCAATAAGACATTTTCTTCTTCTTCACCGTTTGTCGTTCGCCGTTGTCAACATCGAATTATCATCGTCATGACCACCATCACTACCACCATAGTAATCAGTATTGTATATTCGTCATCGCCATCATCATATCATCGTCATCAGTATATTACCGTCCGCAACACGTGATACCATCAACATTATTATTATCAACATGGTATTTGTGACATGTCATTCCGTTGACTCTTCTTCTTTCTCTACTCACCGCTCAAGAAGATTCCTTATCAATTATTATTCATTATCAAGTTGAATGAGGTAATACTACCCTCACATGAAGAAGACTTATTCTTATAATAAGTCACAATACTCCATTTTACAGCTCCATTCAGTGACCATGAATAATAGTTCCTAGCCGAGGCTGGAGTTTCCGCGCATAGCAAGACTACAGTTTATCATGCGCGGTAACTCCAGCCTCGGCTAGGAACTATTATTCATGGTCACTGAATGGAGCTGTAAAATGGAGTATATATTGTAAGTAATTCTAGATTGAGCAGCATCTATTTGCATTATATTCGACACATGTGAAATGCCGACTTTTAATCTGGGCCGAATTCCAATTCTGATCTGATCTTACCTTGAGATGTTCCATCAGAGAGTTCTGTGAAGAAAAAAAAAGTTTTTAAAAGTATCGTTAGACTTATTCCTATTTATATCAAGACCGGCCTCAAAATATAATATTTGAATCTCTTGAGAACATCATGAGCTCTAACTGCGCTATTTTTTTTTTTTTTTTTTGCATTAAATGTTAACGATTTAAAAAATTGCACATATTTGCCTGACTACAGGGTTTGAATATTGAAACCACTTGAATTAGACTCATTCATATTTACATCTCAATCTCTTAAGAACACCATAAGCTCTAACTGCGCTAAATTTGTTGCATTCTTCACAAAGTGAAAAAGCTACGTATTCGCCTGACTTGAGGGTTTGAATATTGCGACCACTTGAGTGGCATTACTGCTGGTTTCTCACTAATGTTTCTCAGTCAGTACCTGTTACAGGAGAGATATTATCCTTGGCTGATTCCATTTCGTTGCTTGGAGGATCAAAATACACTACCACATTGGTACTAGATACACCAATTCCTACATGGGTAGTAGGCTTCCAAACCAACCTTGCAAATAGTGCCGATTTTGCTGTCACCTTAGGAGTGGGCCAATCAAAATCCTTTACTGTTTGATACCAACTAGATACGCATTGCTTAGCTTCGTTCTTCCCTGGCGCTGAGCCTGCTAGATTACAAGTGCTTATCCCATATGTAGTTTCCGTTTCGTTGTTAACTGTTTGTCGTTTAAATAACTTGTCAGCTTCCTTCTGTGCTGCTTGTGACATGTTTTTCTCCAATAGAAGTGGACCTGCCCCGTGCAGTAGACGTATGACGTTCATCTCCAGTAGAAGATCATTCATAAAAGCAGCTTTGGAATCAATAAAGGTAAGCCATTAGTACATTAAGAGAATAAGGGTTCCTTAAACACCCGAGGTTCCTTACTCCAGTACTTTATTCATACGATAAAACATTTGTTTTGGACAGTATTGTTAACATTGATGTTAAACTAAGCATCAAGGTCAAGAATACCTTATAATCACATAAGCTACATACCGTGTTCTTGAGCTGGCGTGGTACTAGTAGTCGGTATAGATGAGGTATTGCCAGATGTCGCTGCCGTGGATGGAGTGGGACTTGCAGCAGTTGGACTTGAACCGGAAGTCGTTGGACGGCTTGGACCGGAGGGCTTTGCACTCGTTGGACCAGAAGGTTTTGCGGTTGTTGGACCAGAAGGCTTTGCGGTTGTTGGACCAGAAGGCTTTGCGGTTGTTGGACCAAAAGGCTTTGCGGTTGTTGGACCAGAAGGCTTTGCAGTACTTGAACCGGAAGACGTTGGACTGCTTGGACCGGAGGGTTTTGCACTCGTAGGCTTTGCGCTTGTTGAACCAGAAGGCTTTGCACTCGCTGGACTGGATGACTTTGCAGTTGATTGGCTAGGAGGCATTACAGTTGTTGTCTTTGCACTGCTTAAACCAGAAGGCTTTGCACTGCTTGAACCAGAAGGCTTTGCGCTCGTTGGACCAGAAGTCTTTGCGCTCGTTGGACCAGAAGGCTTTGCGCTTGTTGAACCAGAAGGCTTTGCGCTTGTTGGACCAGAAGGCTTTGCGCTCGTGCTTGGACCAGAAGGCTTTGTGCTGGTGCTTGGACCAGAAGGCTTTGCGCTTGTTGGACCAGAAGGCTTTGCGCTCGTGCTTGGACCAGAAGGCTTTGCGCTGGAGCTTGGACCAGAAGGCTTTGCGCTCGTTGGACTAGTGCTTGTTGGTGCTGTTGGTTTTGAACTTCCCGCGGAAGGTTTTTGGCTGATCGAATTGGTTGATGCCTCACTAGTCGGTCCTGCAGTTGAAGTTGGCATAGAGGTTGGCGCGGTCGATGCTCCAATAGATGCAGTAACTTTTTCGCTCGTTGGTCCCGCAGATGAAGTTGGTTTTGACGATGGTATCCCAGAGGGCTTCACGCTACTTGAACCACTTGGCTTTACACTTGTTGGTGAAGTGGATGCCGTCGGTTTTGAAGCTGGCGTAGGAGGTTTTGAAACAGTCGAAGTAGCTGAAGTAGGTTTTGAGGTTGCACCACTAACAGAAGCTGATGAAGATGCGCTAGATGAAGTTTGTTTGGATGTAGGTCCAGATGGCTTAGCACTTGTAGAACCTGAGGTTGATGAGCCGGATGGGGCAGCGCTTGTTGGACTAGTGGATGTAGATGGTTTTGAAGTTGATCCCGAGCTAGTCGAGGCGGTCGACTTTAAGCTTGTCGATCCTACAGATGATGTTGACGCTGATCCTGAAGGTTGCGAACTGGTGGGGCCGGTAGCTGTTCCAGCAGATGTCGTTGGCTTTGTTGAAGTTGCACCAATTACAACGGTAGATTCTAAAAAAAATATGCTCAGGAGGTCAAGAATAGAGTAAAGAATAATCAGGTTAGGATTGATGCCACCAAATTTGATAGGCATGGTCTTTCTCATTGGGAGGCCTACAAGACATTAACAAGTGAAACCCCCATTTTTGCGTCCCATTTCCTTTTTATTCATTCCCAGTTGCGCGGGCAAAAAAAATGTACCCATTACATGTTGCATGAATTCAAACTAAAATAGATTTGTGGTATTATGCAGCGAATTTTTTTTATCATATTATGTGTATTCCTCATATGAACTGACCTCATTGCAGTAGACGAGAGATCCTTTCAAAGTTGTTTTCCAGAATAGCAACATATGTAAAAACCCACCCACGCCTTCCCTAACGACTGACCTTGACCATTCTGTAATTTGCTGGCAAGTAGGGGAATATGTTCTTACCTGCAATCCCTTTAGTACTCTCCTCCTTGTTCGTCGGTGTTGCAGTGTTTCCACTGGTAGGAGTTACAGATGCACTTGGTGCTGATGATCCTGAAGAAACTGAGCTGCTAGAAGATGGTGTGGTTGGTTTTCCTTGAGTTGGAGTTGCTGAAAAATGATACAAGAATGTCTTTGTCATGGAAAAGGTCTTAAGCCACACACTTAACAAATTTTCCTCAAATTTTCCTCACATGTTGGAGGTATAACTTTGTTGGGTTTTAAGGTTCTTTGTAGCCCACTGTTTTTGGAAATCCAACACTTGCACGTAAACTCATAAATTGTTCCTTTTGAATCCTTGATCGTCAGCTGTAAAAAAGAAGGTGGCAAATCTAGTTCAGATATCAGAGTAGATGAAGTCATGAAATCTCACAATAGTTAATAGTGATCGTGATCATCATCTAGTGGCTGTAGATGATGCTATTGTTGGTATGATGCTATAGCTCATGGAGGTGATCATGACGATGATGGAATTGGTGAAGACGACGATTGCAATGAAGCAGCTGGTAATGAAAAAAATGAGGTGATGTGATGCAGTTTTTCAGGGTATCGAGAAGAATTAAAGATTTTTGTCCACGATGATTGTGATGATAGCGGTGACGGTGGTGGTAACGGTGTAGTCTGATGTGTCGACAGGATGATGATATTGGCAATGATGGTGGCGGTGATGATGATTCTCGTGATGATTGTGATGATAGCGGTGACGGTGGTGGTAACGGTGTAGTCTGATGTGTC